ACAGTGTGTCTGAGGCAACAGTGTCTTCGGGAGCAGTTTCAACCAAGCATGTGGTCTCAGAACCTTTTAAAGAGCAGGGAAAGTCAGGTCTAGTAATCTACCAATGGGAACTTCCCATGACCCAGGTCGATAACAGCGATGACTCCGCGACTCACCTAGTGGAGCCACAGAACTGCCCTTTACGTGTTCCGGCTGTTCCCTCTTGTACTGCAGAACAGCCACGTGCTTGAGAACGTCGGGAGCCAGGAATCTCTCCAGCTGACCGGAGCTGAATCCCCGCACCCATTGTAGCAAGAAAGTGAGCCCAGCGCATGCCCGTGTGTCCTGCCGAGACAAGGGGAAAGAATGGATCCCACTGGGAAGAAACTGCGGTCAGAGGTTTATTCTGATATCCCTGGAAACCCTGAGAGCGGAGCGGAGCCAGGTAACTGAAGCCTGGTTCTGACCACTTAAATGGGGTCTCTAGTTTCATGGTTTGTAAAGCCAAAAGGGAACCACTGTGGTCACCTGTTCTGACACCACACTGCCCCCCCCCCACCACACACACCCCACTGCTGCATAGCATGGGCCATTGAATCTCACCCACGGCCCCCTGCATCCAGCCCATGCCTGCTGGGGGGAAGCTAGTGCTTGTAAAAAAACACGTGCAAAACTCTGGCTCTGTACAGATGGGGTTCTGCAAATACCAAAGAGCAAGTGTAGGAGGAGTCTCACCTTTCAGTGCCTGTGACTCTTAACACCTGTGGGGGTGGGGGAGTTGTTGGGGCATCTGCTTTGCCTTAAACACAACTGTGGAAAATTCTGGCTAAGGACATGTGTGGAGACTGAAACTGTTCTCTCAGCCCCAGATGGCCTGGTGCCCTTGGTTTATTCCCCCTGGGTAGCAGTTTGCCCGGATGCCAGGCCATCCAGCTCCCCCCAAATCAGGAGGTTGTTCAGGAGTGTGTGTGCATGTGGGGTTAGGGGCACAGGGAGAGCAGGGTCCCTGGTGTCAGATGTGAGACCTTGCACACACGCATCCACCCACCCCGTTGCAAGCCTTAAGAAGCTGGTCTGCCTCCAGCAAGCTACATGCCCAGATGCTCATCAAACCCTCTCTTATCCCTTTCGACCTGAGCAACTCGCCAAAAATGTGGTGTTTTGCAGTTACGAGGAGAAACGGACAGTGGGGTCTGGTCCCCTTTCATATAGTCTGGCTTATTTACAAAGTGGTGTTACCCCAAACATGGGAGGAGTCAAACGATGGGAGACCGTTTCCTTCCTCATAGTTCCCAGCCTCTTTCAGCCAGCACTGTGCCCAAAAGCGCTCTCTCAAGGTTTCTTCTCAGGGTTCCACTGCCAGTGCTTCTGTGTCTTGCTTTCTGGCTGCCTGCTCCCTCAGCTTCTCTGGTGTTTTTTCTTCTCTGTCTTGTGCACACGCGCACACACACACACATCTACTCACAAACAATACCCAGGCAAGCCCCTCTCCTACATAGCTCTAACTCCTGAGTAGCCCACATGTGCCTCTGTGTTCGGATAGGGGCTTTGTAGTTTCATAAAGGAGCTTAGCTATAAGAAAGAATTATTGTAAAGGAAGGGTGGTGGTTACACCCAGAAGCTTCAACAACAACACAACAACCACCTACAACACGATAAAGTCTCTTTGGGAGTCTGCTGAGCCTACCAAGGCTGCTTGTTAGTGATGGTTGTCACAGGACAAGCCAGGCCCGTGTTGCCAAGGTGTTAGAAGAAGCCAGTCCCCAGGTGTCTGTCAGAGGCGGGTATGCCCCACCCAGGACGGGTTCACATGTAGCATTTGGGCTTGACCCCCTGTACCCCGTTACCATTGCTGTCATTCCTGTTCCGGTGGTAGGTCACTCTGTATGATGTCTCCAGGGTCAGCCTTGGTTTTTCCTTGATGCTTTTCAATGAGACTTGTTATGGTTGGAGACAACGTCTGTCACTCCCTGATATGTGGGACGTTGCAATGGAAAATAACCTGTGTCGCATCTAGTCCACAGTCTCCCCTCTCTATACAGCACTCCAGGGAACCCGCTCAGGTTTGTGGAGGGGTGTGTGCTGTAGGGATAGGGTTGGGTTTTTGTTGTTGTGTTTTTCTGTTGGGGATTTCGTACCACACCCAGAGTCGTGGTCCCTGGTTTCTAGGATCTAAGGTGTAAATTAGCAAAACAGGATGTTTTCACTGAGAATAGGTGTGGAAATTGTCAGTTAAGCTGTTTTTTCACATAAAATGACTGAAACAGTCATTGTATTTCCCACTTCACTAGCTCAAAGCTCCAGTGGCACACAAACAGAGTTAGGTAACCAGGGTAGGCGGGAAGGAGACTAAGGTCTGTTTTTTAGGGCTGGGCTGCATGGGAAACATACAGGGTATAACTTCCCATGTGCACATTCCTATTCTGCAGTAAGTGGCTTTTTTGGTTTAGCTTTAACTCCTTCCAAAGCAATATTAGCTGACCTAAAGGCCACTCGTATACTGGAATAAGAGTCTCCCCGTGGGAGGCTGAACTGGTATAACTATTGGTTTAAATTTCCACCTTGGCTTATACTGGGATCACTTTCCCATATAGACAAGCCTTTATACTCCAGTGGATGGTGACTGGTGGTCGGAAGTTTGTGGCTGTCTCCTTGGGTAGGAAGAGTGGGGTAAAACTGGATTGGAGGAGACTTCTGGGTGTCAGACAAAATCTGCCCTCTGCACTCCTAGTTGGCTAGGCAAAGACCAGAGCCACCTAAGGGATGATCTGAAGCACCATGAAGGGGCCTGATGCTCATTAGGACTGGAATTTGGGAAGGAAATAAAAAGAACCTAAGACAATTGCCTGGGGAGGTTGTAGAATCTCCATCACTGGAGATTTTTAAGAGCAGGTTAGACAAACACCTGTCAGGGATGGTCTATATTGCTTAGTCCTGCCATGAGTGCAGGGGGCTGGACTAGATGACCTCTTGAGGTCCCTTCCAATCCTATTATTCTGTGAGAAGAGACAGACACCGCAAACCACCAAAAAGCAAAGCCCAGCACCGCCCCTCTGGACCCTTTTATGACTTGTACTCTCAGCCCACGCCCGGTTACTGGACTTGGCAGAGTTTTCCAGGCTCTTTTAGCCCAATCGTCTTAACTCAAAAATTCAACCACCTCAGGGAGCCTGAAATATGTCAACAACCTTTCAGTTTTCCCAGCATGCTTAGCGGGACTTGGGCTAAGTGACTTCAATCCCCTCCTCCAAATTCCAAGCTAATACGCCATGTTCCAGAGGCCTCCAATCCATTGGGGTCTTTTTCACTCTCTCCTAGAGGCAGAAGCCACTGAAACAGAGGCTGTTCATGGTGATAATCCCCAGCTCTGACAGCACTTGTCATCAGGAGATCTCAGAGCACTTTACCAGGGGAAGCCAGTATCGCTCTCCCTGTGTCAGAGAGGGAAACTGAGTCCCAGAGAGGGGACATGACTTGCCCAAAGTCAGGCAGTAGCAGAGTTGAGAACAGAACCCAGACCCCCAGTATCCCAGGGCAGTGAGCCGACTTAAACAGGTTGCCCCTAGTGAAGCACGGGGGATGGGCGGGTGTAGGCCCCTGCCCACAGCCTAAGGGGAGGAGCACTGAACCCAGGCTTTCAGCTAGTCACTGGGGGGACAACAAATGAAAAAACAGGGATGGGAGTGAGGGTCACAGATTGAAAATCAGGGATTCAGAGGGGGGCACCGAGAAAAGTACCCAGGACAGCGTCCATTGCTCCTCACTGGTGTCCTGGGACCCGGTGGACATGGCGCAGAGCATCTCTGTCCAGAGACGTGGCTTCTGGAGGCAGCACGTTGCAGGTGGGGTGACATGCTGAGATTTTAAAGGCCTGCCAGAGAGCTAGATTTCCTCCATTGTGCCCCCTTCCTACAATTCCCTTCTCCATTCCCCTCCCTCTCTGACCGCTTTTTTCCTGCTCCACTCCATCCGCCCCCTCAATTCCATGCTCTCCTCTGCAGATCCCTCCAGAAGAGCAAACATCTGTGTGCCCCTGAGCAGGGCTGCAGAAGTGGGGTGCAGGGGCTGGAAAGGGGCTCTAATGGGGGGCAGCCAAGCAGGGAGCTGCCCTGAATTTCACCATCCAGCAGACGAAGCCAAAACCGACCTTTCACCACCTCACTGTCAAGTCGGGATCTGGGTTTTTTTAATTTTTTTTTTAAAGTTTCTAACTCGTGACAGTCGCCAAATAAAACTAATTTGAATGATTTGAATAGTAGTTTAAGAGGAGAGAGGAGGGGAATTTATTAGCTGCCCACTGATTGCAAATGTACTGTAAGTGCCCTATTCTGACTGACGGTAATCAGTGTTTGGGGTTTTTAATTGGGTTTTTTTAAGTGATTAATTTGCTAAATCAAAACAGGTCACTGCTCTTAACATGTAAACTAGGATGGTCACCACCCAGACTTGGCAGGGAGCCAACACAAC